AAAGTAAAATTCAATATAAACTATCCAAATTGGATTTAGACCGTGTTCAATGATGATCGGTTCTTGATCCTAATCCACTTCCTCCACAAATAATGCCATGAAAATTCACATTCCTTGAATAAAATTCCAATAAAAAAATTGCGCATTTCGCCATATCGCAATTTCAATCGGTATATAGTTCCAGCAAAATATGCCAATAAATTCAGTACAGGTTCATGGCAAGTTCAATTTCATATTATATCAAACCTACACGATTTAAATAACAAGAATGGAAAGAGTTGCTTCCTTGAATTCTAAGCTTTACATACTACTATAAAATTACAAATACTTGATGCTAAATATTTGACAGTTATACCAAAAACTGTCAAATATGGTGAGGTGGAATTTGCTAGAAGAAAATTTGACGGTTTTAAAAGGAATTGTCAAAACCGTCAAGTATTCTTGGAAAATATTTGATGATTCCTGCCTAGACCATCAAATTTAATAAATAATCACTACTATAAAAAAAAGATTATTTGACGGTTATTTTTTATCATATTTGACGGTTCTGAACCATTAAATAATGAGGCGTCATATAAGGTCTGAGTGAATATTTGACGGTTCTGAACTGTCAAATATTTAAAGAATATTTGACGGTTCTTTTCCAATAACCGTCAAATAAGATCACCTTATTTAACTGTTCTTTGCCAATAACTATCAAATAAGGTGACTTTATTTGACAGTTTTTCACCAATAACCGAAATAAGGCCACCTTTTAGGTGACCTTATTTGACACTTTTTTTATTAAAAAAACTGTCAAATAAAGTAGTCGTATTGTTTTTTATTATATATAATTATTTTCTGCTATTTATTTTAATTTATTTTTTACTGTTAGTGTTTATTATAATACACAACATCATCATTGAATAATAACAAGAAGATAATGTTAAATAAAAATTATATTTATGAAATTCAAAATCCAATACACTACACATAAATACCATACAATTTAAAACAAATTAGCCGCTTGAGCACTCCTTATATAATAGAACATTGCCTTATGAATTTCTTGGATTCTAGAAGAAATTCCACTAATAGAAGATTTCACCATCTAGAAGAAATTGTCACAATATTCTTGTATGCCTTTATTGTGGATTGTCAATAAATCATGGATCAATACTTCCACTCACATGTCCTCCAAGTGCAAAATAGCAACACTGTATGTTCTAACTCAGTAGCTACTTGAATCCCCATTCTCAGTCATTCTTTTTCAGCAACTGTAAGTAGAAACCACATTGACACATGGATAAATTAGGAAACAATAGTATCATTAATTTTAGAACACATTGCAAGCAAGAAAAGAATAAAATCATTACAGTTGTCACTCAGTTACAAATGAAAAAAAAAATCACTTGATAAAAAAAATAAATATAGTACTGCTTTTGTTCATCATTCTTGCTAAGTCTTAACAGATACAGTGCTACATAGGTGAAGCAATATATTAACTGAGTGCAAAACCAACAACGCATTAGCTATTCATGGTAGGCACTTTCACGTCAAGCTAGTTTTCTCCAGTGCATCAATGTCTCATTCATGATCATACTTATGGAACTCATCCCTTTCGGTTTACATCTAAATGTAATCAATGTATTAGCTACCTAAGAATTTGATATCAAAAAAACAGAGGAAAAGAAAGCAAAAGAGCATCCCATCTCTTCACCATAAAATGAAAAACCAAGACCATGATATATCAATTGAACATTACCTTTCAAAAAACAAAAATAGATTTTATTGAAAATATGATTGATAAAGTACAATGAAGGCACATAATACACAACAAACAGAATAGACAATTGAATGTGCAAGCCTGAAGAAAATGAGTCAGCACCAATTTACATATCCCAAGGATGCATAAACCAAAAGTAAAATGAGAATACTCTGAATTAATCCCATCACAAGAATACTATGAATTATATGTTGGCTTGATTGCTAAGGCCTAAATAACTTAAGAGCGAAGTTTCTCTTAATATCAGCATGGTCAAAGGAAAAAAATAAAACGAATAGCCTATAAATTAGAGCCATATGATCAAAACTAGTTCCACCAAGACAATTGCTAGTGACAAATGAAACTAACATAATAATATTGCACATAAAACAAGCATGAAAACATTCTTTGCCACTTAAGTTCAAACATAACAATATACAATAAACATTCTTTGCCCCATCAGTGATCTGCACTTTTCCTGTCTAGTTTCATTTCATCATCTCCGTAAGTTACCTATAAGACATGAAAACAGAACAATATACAATATATATGTAAAGTGTAGTAAGAATAATGCAAATTTAATTATCAAGTAAAGAGACAGTATAAACTAAGAAAGAGGGAATGGCTTAAAAAATTTCAATTACAAGAAAGACGAAGAGTAACATATAAAAAAGAAGATTCAGTAAACTTTCTTTCTCATATCATTATTTTGCATCCAACCAAATTTAGAAAGGGAAGCAAATTTCCTCATTCCTTAGAAGTCACAGAAGAATTAAGATTTAAGACTATTATAAAGAAGCACAAACCGACACAAAGAAGAAAATCATCCAAAAGTTTTGTGGCATCAATGCAAAATAGAGGAAACTATTTAATCTTCTCTTAATTGATTTCTATATTTGTCTCTAGAAATCTGAACCTTTCATCATCATAGAACAACAAAGAGGAAGAGCATTGGAAAGAAGTCATGCAAAATGAGAAAAGCAAACAAAAAAGTTAATATTGAAGAAAACTCTCATGAAAACGATTTCACCATAGTAGATTCAAGAAGCACGGTTTTGGTAGACTCCAAGAGAAGCGCAACAAGCACAAACTCCAAACAAATCATTCTGGAATTGTTGTTGAATGACAGATCTCTGAAATTTGAGGCTTCAGAGGCCACTGTGAATAGCGCAATTTGTGTGTTGACGACCACCATAATTCCTGTTTGATTTGTGCTTTTTTTTTTCAATTTCTGCCTAGGGTTTTCTTTTTTTGATTTCCAATTTATCTCTTTTTGATCAGTGTGGTGTCTGACATTGTTGCTAATAGAGAGGGAGAAGAAAAGGAAGAGGAGCAAGATGAGGATGAATTCACCAGAGGTGGAGGAGATCTGGAATGGCGAGGTGAATAAGAGGTGAGGTCAAGTTTTTCACATAGGGACGCAAGGGCATCAGGGGTTAAAAAGAAAAAGGATGAAATATGTAGAATATTTGACCCTTATCAATATCAACCGTCAACTAAATAATTTTAAATTTGTTATTAAAAATATTTGACCCTTGTTTGATACAACCGTCAAATTTATTTGCCTAATATTTGACCGTTCTTTATAAGAACCGTCAAGTAAAGGTTTCCTGCAATCCCGCCTCATTATATTTGACGTTTTTTACAATAATCGTCAAATATTAAGTGTCATATATGAATAAATCTGTAGTAGTGAATACTTGACAGTTTTCATTATAACTGTCAAATATTTTTCATAAATAATTGATGGTTATATTGAAAAACCGTCAAGTATTGTGTTTTACACCCCCTAAATTTGTTTATTTTACTCGACCTCATTTTAAAATTTCAGCCCCCCTTCTAGTTCCCAAGCTCTATCCAGACCTCGCAGCCCTCTAATCTGCCATCCCTACCTCATTTCTGGTCTTTTCCTTTGGTTTTTATTGTTCGTCATCCATTATCGTCCCTCTCTATGTCCTCCTCCGTCATTGTCATGTCCTCTAGCATCGCCATTGTCGTGGCTTGTTCTCCAGATTTAATAGCTTAGCTTCAGGTTGGTCATCTTGTTATGTTAAATCCCTAATATAATTTTATGGTTCCTTCTAAATGATTTTAGTTGAAATTGGATGATAGGATGAGCAATTATTTTTGCTCCATTATCGTTTCTCTATTCAACTGAGGAGTATTTTTTTCCCGTATTTTGATCAGTTTTAGTTCCATGCTCTTTTCAATTTCTGTTTTTGCCCTAAATTCTTTGCTTTTGTAATTGAAATTGACTTGAGGATTGTATGTTTTATGTTTCTTTAAATGATTGAATGTTCATTAATTTGTATGTTGTTATATATTGAAATTGCCTTACTACTGCTGGTTTGCTGCTTAATACTTTATTTGAAGTCAAATAGAGGGCATAAAGCCTGGAAAATGCTAAGTTATAAGCCATTATGTTGCCAAATTTTTTTCCTAATGGAATAGCACATCAACAGTAGTAGAATATTTTTCAAACTGAAATCAAAGTGAATTTTTGTTGAATTACTAGTTGTTAACAACTAGAATTATTAGTTGTTAAAGTAGAATTAAAGAGGGATAAATGTGATCAATAGTGCCTCATGCATTGACTTCTGATTTTTGTTTAATTCTTACAATATCTTTGAGTCGCTGATCACATTTTTCTCTAAATGATTCATCTTAGTTGGGGACCATAGACAAGGAATGGATGTCCGCCAATCATCTATCAAAGGAATATTGGGATGGGGTAGAAGATTTTATTAAGTTTGTGGTTGAGCATGCCGACGATTGCAATAGGATTGTTTGCCCCTATCTTAAGTGTTGCCTTCTAAAGTGGGTTTCGCCATTCGTTTGTGAGAACCACTTAATTATCAATAGAATCGGTCAAAGTTATAAGTGCTGGACAAAGTATGGAGAGACAAGAGATGTGAGTAACAGTAGTCGATAGCATAGTGAAAGCTGTGGATCGTCTAATTTTGACACAAGTATATATGAAGCTGACTGTCTTGAGGATATGGCCAATGCAATTGAACCGAGACACTAGATGCTGATTGTGGTCAATCCCACAAGGCTAAAGATTTGGTATCTCGATTCTCTTCATGGGGATCCAACCAATGGATCATTTATGGTTTCATTGTTTACTAAGTAACATTGATATCTATTATTCATATTTAATTTAATTTCTTGCTTCAATCTAATTTCTGACAATCATTAATATTCAATTTTATTGTCTTTAGGGCTTTGTAGCTATACCGCACAAATCAAGCCTTACCCTGCTCCTCCGTCAAAAATAGCCGATTTGACAAAGCATTCCCATGGAAGAAAGTAAAGGTGTCCATTACCATTATTTACTATTCCACTAAATATGATTTATTTATATTATTGATGACTAATATAATTTCCTTTCCCAATCCTTTATAGTGCCCACATCAGCTAAACAAAAGCTTCAATTGTGGATATTGCATGATGAAGTTCATGAAGGAAAATTATGCACAATTCTGACATAATCCCTACGAAGGTAATATGCATTTATTAAAGTTCAATTTATATATTTTAGAATTATACTTAGTGTAGCTTCACATTTATATCTAACTTCAATTTGCTTTTGCATATAGTACTTTGCCGACACATATTGCACAGTGTATCTAATCATTAACAAAAGCAAACGAAGTCCATAATTCAACTAAAAGCCTTTTCGTAACACCCTCTCGATCTCCTTTTTATTTCTTTAACTCTAACTTTAGAGTTTTAGTTCCATAACTTCTAAAATTATTTTCTTACAATTTTCCCATCTAAAATGTCATTCTAAATTCGTTGGAGACATTTAAATTAACTGATTTTCAGCTCTCTTAATCTACTCTTTCCTTGACAGAAATTCACATAAATAAATTAAAAGCATCATGTTTTGCTTTCTCATGATGCTAATACATTATTTCAAGCAAGCCATAAATGTCATCCAATCACCATTTCATCCTCTAAACATCAAACCCTAATATGTCTATAATTACAACACCACTCAATTATTAGGTTTTAAGATTCCTTAACTCATCATATGATAATAAAATCATCAATACAAACTCAAGCTTCCATATATATGCACCTATAATTTCCCTCTGTCTAGATTAGTTTTCTTGGTTTCCCAACTCTTGCTTCACATGAAACTCCTCTTCTGCCCAACAACAAAAACTAATCTGCAGAAAATTATGGTGTTAGGGACATAACAAGGGAAGGAAACATATCTAAGAGTAAGACTGATTAAGCTATAGGAAAGTTACCTATCAGTTTTTTGGGAATTTATGTCAAGCAGCTTGATTTAGTCCTTTACCCTTTGATACCTTATTTCGATCATTACACAAATATGACGAATGATTTTCTTGGAATGGAAAAAAAATTTTTAAACCAAGTTTAGTTTGTTGTTATTGCTAAACTGATGACCCCAAAATTTTGATGAAAATTTTTTGGTTGTTGCTGGTCTAGTGACAATAGCATAGTCAAAACTCTTTTCAGTTTTATATTCAAAATCTAGAGAGGTACAATTACTTCACCAAAAGTATTTAAGCATACCACTTTAAAAAAAAAAAGATACTAATAAGTGGAAATGATTAAAAACATATATGCAAATAAAGTCGAGGGTATATCTCAATTTACCGAAAAAGAGCAAAACTCTATTACCTTACTGCAGAGAAACTTTCAATAATAATTTTCCCATTTTTTCATAAAATAAAGAGGGTATATTGTTCAATGGTACCATATGACGGCATTACCGACCTAAATGATTAAAAAAAGTTTCTTTCGAATGAAAAACAAAAACCCTCAACTATATATGCAAAAGGATGATTTTGTTATCACTGACTTTTAATTTATTAAAATCTAACCTAAGTTTAAAAAAAAAAAAGTTGATGTTTAGGTCTAGTGAGTTGAAAATTTTGAATTAGATCTATAGTACTTGGAGTTAAATTATTTTTCAGCCCAAATGTTTTTATCTTGTTCGGGGTATAAAATTATAAAACTTGCATACTCTACTTTTAATTTCCCCAGTAACGTGCCAACGCCCCTAGATAATAAAAGGAATCATACTGAATCCTTTAATAAGTAATTTCTAAATTTTATCTCTACAAAATTAACTAATACCCTGATATAGAATTTATCTCTACTTATATTTGCAGTGCATTTTTCTTTTATATTTACAAGTTAATTAAAATTGACATTTGAATATATAATGCATTGTAAGCAAACTACAAATGCTATTTAACATGTGACATTATGTTTAGAATTTCTGTTATGATCTCTTCCAAATATTGTATATACTAACTACTAGCCAATATGAAAAAAATTCTAGCTCTTCATACTCTTTTTGGGACCAATCGAGTCATTTTCATCAAATAAATCCCAGCTGGAAAAACACTATCTATATTCATCAACCATACATTTGCACGAAGGGTAAGAAACGTATTTCTTCAGTAAACTACGTTTAATATCTAAATCAATGACTAAGTCTTGCAAATAGCTAAGGATCAAGCTAGGTACGCCAACAAGCCTGAATTTTATTTTATTTTTTAATCAGGATTTCATTTATTAAATGTATTTTTATAATAAAATATAATGAATACACAAGAAGTCCACATCAATTGCCCATCCAAATTGTACTATAAATAATATTGCAACCATAGTCAGTGATTTGCATCATCAAAAAAACACAAATAAGTTTCATCAGTTTAAACAATGTCCTCTAAACACTTGTTGCTGGTGTTCTTTCTTGGAGTGTTGCTTCTCATCACTTCGAGCTTTGCAAAAACTGATAAGCCTGAAGTTGCAAAACCACAATATGTTGCCGGTGGATCACCGTGGGACCGACCGCCTGACGGACCTCCGATTTGTGATTTAACTGTTGTTGAGAATATTGAGTCACCGGTGCCACCTTTAAATGATGAAGGTCTTCCACCACGCAGCTCTAAGCCACGAGGAACCAAATCTGTTCAAGCCACCTCTCAAACACAAGGAACCAAATCTGTTGAGAATAGGGCATCACTATCATCACCTGATGATGATGAAGGTGAAGTGTGGATATAGCAGCACACTTTTAAAACCCACCTAGTTATATGTGGAGACTGCCAAGTTATTAGCCCCTATATACTTTTAAGAATAAGGCAATATCATAAGCTTGATTATGTGTGTGTGTGTATATATATTTGGGTATTATAAAAATAAAGAGTGTATATTTCTCTCCATTGTTTGCCTTCTTCTTCGCCAACGCTGTTTTATGTTGATCTTATAGTTTAGTATGCTTTCCATATATTAAAAAAAAGTAGAAAGCAGAAGGTGGATATATGAGAAGTTTGGAGCATATATACGCGTCGGATTTGTTTGAAAAAACAAATGTTGATTCTGGATTATGTCTCAGGGCTTTTTTTTTTTGGCGGGGCATTTTTTGAAAGCCATTGTCAATTCTAGGTCTTCTTTTATTGTCAGTGTTTCATTATTAACATTCACGACGTATTGAAGAGACATTCAAAGAAACAAAGCCATTTGGTAATTAAGGTAAATAAAGAAGAAATTAAAATATATATTCTTTTTAGCTTTCATAAGGACATCAATGTATCTAAGAAACAAAACCGAGATTTGTACGCGAAACAAGTGCTAGAGAAATTTTAATTGTTAGGTCACTTTATATTATTCCTTTTTAGTATTACAGTGGTAATTGACTACCAAAAAAAAAATAGTGTCGTTAATTTGTAAAGCAAGTACTATTATATACATCATATAACAGCAACAACAAAATCTTATGCCACTATATGAGATCAACTACATAAATCGCGCAGCACTATTAAGCTCTATTAACGAAAGATCTCGCTTAGTAATTTCATTGATACATCATGAGAGTGGCCCTGAAAAATGTTTGCAAATAAAAGTGAGTTTCAATTTTTTTTATGTATGAAATTGGATGAAATATCAACGATTTTGGGGTTTGGAACAATTTAGATATGATGAAGTTTGTTCAGCCTTACTAATTGCATGGAAAACTTTATGGCTTTTGAGTAATCATAGACATTTATGATTTAATTTAATTTTTTATATATTGTAATTAATTTTTATTTTAATAGATACGTAATTTAAAATAAGGAAAATCTTATAACTAACACTACTTTAAAGAAATAAATTTATCATTAAAAAATTTCATATTAAAACTTTTAAATCTAAACCATTCATGTCAGATTTTAGATGGTCTAGATTGTATTACAACAATGAGGACATGATGCTCATCGATATGATGAGTACCAAATGAAGCCCCTTCTTATGGCCATGGTTACATGTGAGATGTATGATTGAATTAATAGCTTTGTTTAGGGATTTAGGGGTCAGTAATTCCTTGGAGAGGTCCAGGTTGATAGCTTAATCTCAATTGAATAGGTAGGTGGTGATTAAAAGTGAACTAGCGGCTGAAATTATTTTTATGGTACTAAAAGTGATTGCCTACCCTATTCCCGTTGAGTCCGGATGGCATTGAGGTTGGGTCAATAATCTAAATAAGGTTGGTTCAATAATCTAACTTAGTTACAGTAGACTCCAAAATTACAAGTATAACTATGAAAGCTTAGGATATCATCACTATAGGAGCTGTTAATTACATTTATCATCATATCACTCCACTCCACTCCACTCACTAAATCGAGAAAATTCATAAACAAGTATAGGTTAGCCTAGCTTAGTTTAGAATAGCAGCTCATTCCATGCACTGTTAGTTAATTTGTAATTATCACTTAATTACATTTGGAACTTGGATAGGCAGGCCCGCCAATTAGTGAATCCACCTAGGTTAGCACTGCTGTATTGTATTATTAGTTTAACATTTATTTGATAGCCCCACCACATAGCCTTTCTGTGAGGAATGGCCCAAAATATTTTCTGGTGATTTTCTTTAATTATTTTGTGTATGAGAAAGTTTATAGATGAAATCTCATACTACTTCCACTCCTTAATATAAGAACTAATTGACTAATTTAAGTAGATTAAGAAAATTTATTAAATTAGTTATTTGTAATAAATATGTATTATCTTTCTTAAAATACACTTGCTAGTCATGTGTATTAACTAAAACTATCATTTGATAGAATATTTAATAGTGCAACTACTATTGAAGTTTTATATTTATAATCAAACTAATTATTAAACTAGCTCTTATATTTAGTATAAATTACCCATGTCCATTTGGCGGCCACTAAGAATCAGAAAGTAAAAAGGAGAAATTGGTATATCTTTCTCAAGTATATGCATTGGCTCTCTCTCTTTCTCCCTCTCTTGCTTACAACGTCTTTGACTCGGACCCTCATGGATTGGGTCTTGGATA